AGGGCCTCCCAGGCTACGGAACAACGTGGGCCAAGACCCTATGGTGGTAGGTACTTGGTACCTCAAAACTGCAAGGATACTAGGAGACAGGTAGAGGAAGGGAGAGACCTGTAAGAAACGGGGCAGGTAATTTGGGGCCTGAGGGTATTGTAAGCACATCCTAAGAGCTCAGAAGTCTTGGGCTGTTAAACAGAAGCCTGGCGGCCTCTGCCTCCTGATTGAGGGGTGGAATTCAGAGCTGGACGCCAGGCCGGGAAGGAGCTGATTACTGTAATTGAGATGGGATGATGGTGGTGTGCATGCAGGTGCCGAGATGGGTCAGGCCAGGGTTATTCTCCCAAGGTAGCAATGTGTGTGCGTGTGCTGTATATCTGTGACGTGTGACTGAGGTAAGGATGGTTGGTTGGATGGAGCCGCCAGTGACAGAGATAATGGCTGGGGTGAGGATGGGGCCGGGGCCAGGCCCAGGTTGGGTTTGGACCCAGGAAACTCGAGGCACCTGCTATGTGATGCTAGAGGGAGCCACCCCTACTGCCCCCACCCCACCCCTGCTTAGTGCAGGTGGGAGTCCGAGGCTCAGGGGTCACACTGGTCAACCCAGGGGAAGCCCAGGCCGAGTCCACCTGAGCTTTAAAGAGTCCCACGCTGGAGTTTGCAGTTCCTTAGGGTTTTTCCAAGTCACCCACCCACACATTCCTGGCGCTTGTCCTGAATTTTAAAAAAGTATTATTGTGAACACTTCAAATGTGACCATAAATAGGTAAAACAGCAGAAGGAACTTCATGAACTCTATGAAGCAGATCGGAGCATCGTTTCGTTACCCAGCATCTCTTGTCTGACAAACCCACGAGCAATCTAGGGCATGTGAATTGGATGAGAGGCCTGGGAGGTTACATGAGTCACTGGAGAACCAGAACCAGCAGACCCTAAGAGGGGGCAAAGCTAAGAGGGGAGGAGAGGAGGGACCAGGGTTCCCTGGGAGAGCAGGTGAGGGCTGGGCTGTTCCAAGGGCAGTGAGTGAAAAATGCAAGTGCCAGTAAGCAGGTCCCACATGGAGAGGTAGAGTGTGGTAGAGGGAAGTAGTTAACAAACCTGGAGGTGCCAGTGAAGCCCACTCGTGGCGAGCTCAGCATGCCAGGCTAGGGAGGCTGGCTTGTTATCTTTAAAGGCATCAAGGAGTGTTGAGGTTTGGCAGGGGGTTGATGTGATTTTGGAGGACTTTGTAAACATTGGGGACCAGAAGGGATGGAAGGTGGGAAGAACTGGGAACCCACAATGCGGGCTGTGTGATGAAAGTCTGGGTTGAGGAAGAAATGGTCAATAAGGCAGGCAGCAGACAGCCAAGAACTGCCAGTAGCCTCTCCCATTCTGTCTGTGGGATCATGTCCACTTGCCAGCCTCCCAGGCTGTGGCAAGGCCCTTTGGGCTTAATTGCTGCTGTACAGTGAGGGCCTGTGGAGGTCAGCACCTACTGTGTCAGTACAGGAGGTTGGTGGGGTCTGGTCAGGGTAGCAGGCAGCCCAGGTGCCCAGTGGGGGCTGAGCTAGCAGGCAGAGCCTGAGAGTCAAGGATTCTGCTGTGGGGTAGTGGACAAGAGGTACAAGGGCCACTCTCAGTGCCACAGGGTGGCATTCTCTCCCTGCACCCAGCTCTGGAGGATATGTGGTGTTTGATAAGGTACAGGGTCTCACTTTGCCACCCTCGCCCTGACTACATCTGGTTGGGAAGGGTCTCAGGAATAGGGAACCCTCTAGAATGTCCCAGAGAGGGGCTGGCTACCCTTTTTCTTTGCTGTATGAAAACATCCCTGAGTGTGGGGTGGTTCATGTCCCCGTTTTCACACATCATAAAGGACCCGATCCAGGGTGGTCTGCCAATGAAGAAAAAGTTGCTTCTGGTAACTTCCATGGGACATTAAGGACATGGGACCAAGGTCCCCCAACCCCCAGAGGGGAGGGCTGCATGAGTGAGTGTGTTAATATCCAGCATGAATGTGAGGCACGGCCGGTCACCCAAGAGTGGATCTCAGTGCTTGGATTCTCTGCATCTGGTGGAGAGACCACAGTTGGTGGCTTGTGTGTCCCTTGAGTGTCAGCCTCTGTGGGGTGGCATTGTATTCTTAAAGGACTGGAGTTCTCTGTACAATTGCTAATGCCTTCGCTTTTCTCACCCCTGGCAGTGGCTGTGTCCCCTCCATAATGGACAGGCCTCGATTCATTTCCAGGAAACACGTGTGACTCTCTTTCCCCTCCACCCTACCCCTGAAGGCCTGGATTTCACCCTAGGGTCCCTTCATGGTCAGGAGAGAGAATCTGGTGTGTGTTTTCTGTGGACATCTGACTTTGAGAGATGTCAGGCTGTGCAGCTCGTCCCTACCCCCTCCTTCTGCCACACCTCATGTGTGTGAACACATGTACACACGCACGCACATGCACACATTGCCCAGCACTCAATCTTTCATAAACTGTGCCAGTTGACCTCAAAGAAAACAGCTTTGTTCTTTCTAGCCAAAGTTACCCTTCCCAAACAAAAGGTACCAGTGGCTTCTGAGCATCTCCAAGGAAAGACAGAACTGTTCCTGTCCACCTTCCACCCTTCACAGCTGGCCAGGCTCTCTAGGACCTGTCCTTATTCGGGTACTTGGCTTAACAACCTCACAAGCAGCACCACACTGAGCTCCAGCTCCCCGTGGCCCAGTGGAGCCATGTGTGTGGGAGCGAGAGCAGGACCACTGATGGCCTTCAGAGCCAGAAAGGGCCTTGGAGCTTGGCACTGATGCCTCCTTACTATGCCCATTTGGACTTCTATCTGTTGCTGGGAGTGGAAATCTGGAGCGGCATGTCCTCAAGGGAGGTGGGACCCCAAAGGCGGCAGCTCAGTTGGCCAGACGCAGCAGGACAGCCAGGTGCGCTCCCAATAGCTCCCCATCAGCTGGCATCCACCTCCTGACCTCACCTCCTCTTCCACTTGTCTGTGCCATTTGCAGCCTCCCCCAGAGACACCTCAGCCTGAGCATCTCAGGTGAGAATTGTCAGTGTGCCATTGAAGTCCTCATGACAAGAGTGGGTCACTGCTCCAAGCTGTCTCCCTTTAATCTGTGGTGCTCGGTACCTCGTGATGCCACTTCTAGCTCTAGACTAACACTGACTGATGCTGAGGCTCTGGCACAGACACGTTTGCGTGTCCTGTCATCTCAGTAATGCAGTGCATTGTCATCATTTCCACCCTGGGGACAGGATGGTTATCGCTGGGTCCCCCACCCCATGCCTGCAGAGCAGTCCTTGTCCAATGGGGCTCTGATTTGGTGGCTGCCTAGCTGTGGCAGAGTCACCTCTGAGGGATGACCAGGCCTGTCTTGTGTCCAGCTCCCCACACCATCTTGTGCAGACGGAGCCACTCAGTCACCACATCTGAAGGTTGGAGAGGTGTTGTGGACCATACCCCAGTTGGAGGGAGGAGTATGGGGGAGGGGCTCCTTCTGGGCTTGGCACTATCTCTTCTAACCTGAGGGTCTGAGCTGCCATTTTGAGGTCTTGCCATCTACCCAGGCCCAGTTCTCTGCAGGGTGGAGCTGAGTTAGGAATAGGGGTTGCAACCATGCAGCCCCGTCAGCTGTGATTACCACAGGAACAATGGCGGCCCTCTGAGTTCCATCTGGGAGAGTCAAGAGAGGAAGCTCTCTGGTGTCTCAGATGAGGACACTGATCCTATCATAAGAACTTTGCCCTTACAACTTCCTCTAACTCTGACTGTCCCAAACGCCCCACCTCCAGAGGCCCCCACGTTGGCTTAGGGCTTCATGTGAGCGTGGGAGACACACTCAGTCCACTCACTCCAAGGTATGGGAATGCCTGGGTGTGGGATAACCCTGGGGGTATCAAGATGGAATGGAAGCCTCCCTTAGAGCTGAGACTGTGGCCTCTGATACCCAGCTGTGGAGACAGATCAGCATCCACTGAGCTCCTGCTGCCACAAGTTCCAGGCACCTTCCACACTACCTTATGTATTCTTCATGCGAATCAAGTGAAGTCAATGCAGTTATTGCTCCAGTTTACAGACACGAACACTGAGGCTCAGCAGGCTCACGGTGGACACAGGCTGTCCTCACCAGCAGCAGGATGTGGTTCAAACCCAGCTTTGCTCACTCATGGTGCCTCTAGGCCACACCAGAGCCTGAGGGAGGTGAGAGTGGACGACCGAGTGTCCCCTACTGCAGAGGATGGCCTTGGGGCCTCCTGGATCAGAAGCCACATTTCCAGCTGCCTCTGGATAGAGCTTTTGAGGCACCGGAACATCAGGCTGTAGCGTATGAGCCCAGTAATTTTGGGGTGAAAACCACCGGCTCTCAGCTGGGGCAGCGCCTGTCTGTTTTTGCTGGAGATTCATAGAACTCACACTTTAGTCAGATCTCAGCTGTTCCGTTTCCTCTCCCTGGGTCCCACTGTGGGGTCTGCTCCAAACTCATCACCTTTATTTGTATCCAGGACCCTCCCCCCAGTGCTTAAGTCCTGTGTGCCTCTCTCCCCCAGAACCAACTGTCTCCCACAGAAACATCTGCTGGCTTGGTAAATATATTTCGTATGTACAAACCACACATCCAATGCCTCGTGGCCACTGTGTTTGCTTGTTTGGGGTCCAGAGGGGATTATAGGAACACGTAGGCAGGGAGCATCCCTTCAAGCCCCTGCAGGGGGTATCGAGTTGAGCTGCTGCCTAGACGCTGTGGGACGCCAAGTCACCCTCAGCTGCTCCTCGCCCTGGGTCCAGCCAGCCTGTGCCAGACACAGCTATTTCTCCTTCCTGGTCCCTGGAACTAGCAGTGTGAATGGCTGGCCAGGTGCTGGGTTGCATTTCACAAACAGCACTGTGCCCCAGGAGGAGTGGCTGTGTGTGCCAACAGGCCAAGGGGACAGCACAAAGTGGGCATAGAGCCAGGCAGCGAGCTCCACTCTGCGCCCAGGCCAGGAGAAATGAAACGGCCTCACTTCACTGGAATGGCCTAGAAGAAAGGGAATTCTCTTCTCCCATAAAGTGACCCTCAAGACCATGTTTCACTTGCTCAAGAGAAGTTCTTTTTCTCTCCCGTCTCCTTTCAGGAAGAAGCACACTGCCAAGTCAACACCACCGGGCACCGTGATTGCTTGAGACAAAAATCCCAGCCACTGCTGGAAGCAAGTGGAGGAAGAGACATGAGATCTTAGTGGCCTCTGGCCCAGGAGTTGCAAGATGGCAGCCCAGCGGATCCGAGCAGCTAACTCCAGTGGCCTCCCTCGGTGCAAGTCGGAGGGGACCCTGATTGACCTGAGTGAGGGCTTTTCAGAAACAAGTTTTAACGATGTCAAAGGTGAGCTGCTGACTGAGGGGAGGGTGGCTAGTGCTCTTGGACCCACAGCTTTCTCTGCTTTACAGGTTATATGTTCACAATCAGTCATTAGATTTCAGTTCTCTAATGTGTTATTAATTTAGTCTCACTGTGTTAGTAATTCGGTCCCAGAACGACAGCCCCTTGTCTCAACTTTTGATGCTTTGGGAGGAGTTTGTGAATGGCCTCTTAGTTAAAAACCCCTTCTTCGTACAGCATATGCCGATTTTCTCTTGAGGACTTTTGGTAAAAGTGAACTTGGTGGTCCAGAAAGGACAGTGTGAAATGTAAAGAGGAAAAATGGTGGCCTAGGACCAGAATGTGCAAACTTTCTCTGTACATACTGTAAGCCTTTCCCGGGCCATACTGTCACCCTGGTGGCCACAGATTGAGTAGACAAGCAGACACAGTCATCTCCCAGTGCAGCTTTACAAAAGCGGCCAGCCAACCACACATGGCCTGTGCTGACCCCAGCTCTAGAAGGTGGCCCCAGGGTGTAAGCACCCTGGTTCACCGGCTTTCTCCAGAGGCCTCATGAAACTGGGTTGATAAGAAAAATCTATCTTTCAGACACTTGGGGGAATCTCAGTGTGTCATCTTTGTCTACCCTGACCTCTAGGTCACGTGCACTCTCTCGGGTGCTCCCCTGGTGGCTTGGGCAGCCGCAGCAGGAACAGCCACATCCTCATCATCAGTGTCACTGTCACGGGCCTCTTCATAGTGTTTACCGCTAACTGTTGAAATTGTGCATCGTCCTCCCTAGAGCACAGCTGAGCAGTTTTTTTACCTTTGAACCTGTAGCACAAACTTAGCACTAAGTAGGTGTTTCTGGGATGAAGCTGCAGTCCCCAGATAAACGTGTGGCCCTGTACCCCGTGACCTGCATGTTCACATCTTCAGCTGCCGCCTTGCTCGTTATCCAGACCCCTTCCTCTTCCTGTTCCTGGTTTGTGCTTGCAGCCCTAGTGACTGTGGGTTGGAATGTTCTCTAAAAGACTGGCAGAGGAGTCATAGGTTTTGTAAGATAGCAGCAGAGTTAGTGGGGTGCTGTAGATCACTAAGCTGTTTACTTTGTATAGTCAGTAATGGGTATTATATTTTCTTACTTTTTAGCCCATGGAGTCAGAGTCAAAGCTAGAAAAGCTGAGGATAAACTGTGTGGTTTGGACCAGGGTCTTAAAGCAAGGGACAGAGCTGAATTTTTTAAAGTAATGATAATAGTCTGAAGACCACAGCCCTGAGTGCGAGGAGAGGCTGTCTCTGGACTCAAACACCAAGGGCCAATGAGTGCCTCGGTCATGTCCCAGCCAGTGGTTTCACACACATCCTCCTGATAGAGGCATCAGGACAAGGACTTATTCCAGCCAAAACATCTGCATCAAAGTCTTCTACCCCGATTAATGCTTTTCCTGCATAAAAACAGAAGCAGGGGGGTACAAAGTGTATTATTCAGCTTCCTAACACCCAGGGAGTTTTTTGAATTAAAGTCAAGGTAACAGTGGATCTCGGTGGCACTCCCCAGAACTCATTAAGACGGGATTTGATGGGTTTTTCTGGCATCTGGTGGGATAGGAGCCCTCTCCCCATGTCTCTGGGTACTTTGTGGCAATGGCTGATGGTGGGCATTACCCAGAAGGGAAGTCACGCCACAGACCACCTCCACAGGGTCTCTGGGGGGAAGGAGGGCCTGTCGCCCTTGGACTAGCCTGATTCTTGAGTGAAATGTATCACTTCTCTACCAAGGAGAGTGCTTGGAATTTTAAGTGAAACCATTCTTATTCTTCAATCTTGTAAAACTAAAATGATAATTTACATTGATACATTTTAGGCTATGCACAAGGCATATTTGATTGCTTTGGGTTTTTTTAATTTTGAAATAGTACTGTAAGAGAATTAATTATTCTGCTGAGTCTAATAAGCATATAACCGTGGAAAGATTATAACAGGATTTTAATGGCTGGCAAGCTTTATTTAATTCTCAGTTGGCTTTCATCTTTATTTCCAGTAAATGTGTCACGGAAACAAAATGGTTTTATGACTGGAGACCACTACTAGCCAAGGAAATGGGAGAGGAGGATTTATGTTCCACTGGCCTCAGCCTGAGATCAGATCTGGAATTAACCAGTTCCCTTCCCCCCACTTTTCCCTCAAACCCATTCTTGGGACTCAGAAGACAATACCCCAGAAGGCCTTAGAGACTCAGGAAGAAGGGGTCCTCTGCGAACTTGTGTCCTCTTGCCTCACCCCATCTTCTCTCTTGAGACATGTTATGGCAGCTAGAATTCTTCCCCAGGTGGTCAGAGAAACTTCAGTCCCTTCCTGCCTCATGCCTGCCATAACGCCTAAAAATACCACTCCAAACTTCTCCCTTTCTGGGTAATGGTCAGCCATAAGGAAACTGAAACCCTCCTTGCAGTGCAGCCCTGCACCACACCTGGGGAGAGAAGTGACCCTGTTGAGCAGACGGCCTTGCTGGGCATCCCCCTCCCAGTCACCATTAGCTCAGACCCTGGCTGTCAGTCACATCCTGCATAGCCGTCCATGCCCACTGAACCTAAGCAAACCATGGAAGGTCCCCACTGGGGATCTGAAGACTCCTGGGTCACGTGGAACTGTCTTGTCACTGAGATTGCCGTGCAGACCTAGAGGAAGCTGGGATGGCTCTGCAAGGTCCTGCTTTGCTGTGGTTTTGTTCACTCCCATTCCTTCAGTGACACAGATCTGACTGCGATGTTTTGGCAGAAGGGCACAGCCAGGGAATTCTGACTGTGCTCTAGGCCACCACCTTGGTCCATTGGCATGATGTGACCTCTGTGTTGTTTTAGTGTGCACAGTGACTGTCCTTCCACAAATACACATGGAGCACGTGCCATGTGTACATCCCAGCTTACACTTCCACAGCTTCATCTCCCTCTGGGATGCAGCTTACATCCCCCACCAAACAAAAACAACATGCACAGTGTATGGCGGGGAACAAGTACCCTTTCCTTCCTTGCTCAGCTAGGGCCTCTGGAACAAAAGACAGACTGACAAGCGCAAAGCCAATCGACTTATTTAATGTGTTTGCGGGCACGGGAACCTTTAAGAGGGAACGAGCACCCAATGCAAAGCCTAAGCCTGGGTGCTTCTGTGCTAGCTTCAGCAAAACGTGAGTGGTGTGGCAGGACACGGGGCAGAAACCCAGCATGGTACGCGGGGGCTGTGAGGCCCATGCTGTGCTCTCTGTGTCTTAGGGATGCCTCCGGCATGTGGGGCCACCTTTTGGGGATTTGGAACCTGCTTGTTGGGCTTGGGGGGTGGACACAGGGGTGGGTCCTTCCTGCACCTGCTGCTCCTCAGATTCCTGCAGCGTAAGATACTCAAGGTGTGTGATTTGGGTGTTGTGTCCTCAGCCCCTCGGGTCCAGGATGGCGTGGTCCATAGCAGTGAAGGAGTCCTGGCACCCGGTGTGCAGGTTAGACTCAGGGCAGTGAGAGAAGCGGGAGTGGGCAGTGACTCCCCTGTGACACCCCACCTGCCCAGAGAAGAAATCGGTTGCCTCTGTCCCTTCCCAAGTTTCCATTAGCTAACCTCATGTCTCAAGAAGAGACAAGGCTGTCATACACCTAGACAGGCTTTTGTCACACACACCACTGTCCTGCATTTTGATCTCACAAAGCATCAGTCATTTGTAAGTCATAACCATTGATCCCAGCAGATGTCCTGGGCCCCGCGTGTTCTCCAAGCCCATTGGTTTCCCCTAAACATCACTTACTATTTCCCTCAAAATTGTCTGCTTCCCCACACTCCCCTCCTATAAGGTTGGAGTCCTTTCTGAATAACCTTAAGCCAGCAGGTGGTTACACTGCAGTGGCCCAGGACCCCTTCAGACAAACTGTCCCAGTTGAGCCACACCCCCAGCCCTTTTTGGCTTTTGTTATTTTTCAGGTAAGTTCCCTTGTTTCTTGCTTGGGCTGGCCTCAGACCACAGTCCTCCTACCTATGGCCTCCCACATAGCTGGGATCACAGGCATTTGCAGCCACATTGGCTTGTTGGTTAAGATGGGGTCTTATTGGGCTGGAGGTGTGGCTCAAGTGGTAGAGTGCCTGCTTAGCCAGCACTAGGCTCTAAGTTCAAACCCCTACTACCACTTAAAAAAAAAAAAAAAAAGATGGGGTCTTACTAACTCTTTGCCCTGGCTAGTATTGGGCTTCAGTCATCCCAATGTCTGCCTTCTGAATAGCTGAGATTACAGGCATGAGTCTCTTCATGTCATCATCAGATGACATTTTGTGAGTCTTCACCTTGGGTCAAATATTGTTCTCCTGAGCCCCTCATCCTCACCATGGCCCTCTGAGGACAGATGCCTTTTTCCATTGGAAAGGGCCTCAATTCCAGCCCAGGTGCCCCGCACTCAGACAGGGCTCAGCCTAATTGTCCAAGGGGCGGCAGGCGAGGCTCGAGGCCGGGATGTGCTCAGCCCTCGTTCCTCCGTAACCTAGCGAGTGGAAGCAATTGAAACCCCTGCCTCCTCTCCCAAGACTCTGCCAGGAAGTAAGAATTTCATTTTCATTGCTCCCTTTTGGAGAAAAAGGAAGTGGGAAGGAAAGACTTTGGGAGTTCCAGTTAGATAGAACAGAATAACTGCTGACTTCATCACGTATTAGAACAGTTGTAGATTTGGTTCCGCTAAAATTTACTCTTTTGCTTGTTTGCATAAGTAGTTGGGGAAAAAAAGTCTCCTTTCTTTTGGTTGTTGTCCACAGGAAGCCAATGTGTCTGCAGACTCCGTCCACAAGGCGGTGGGCAGTTGGGAACTTTCCCTGGGGATGAGAATGGGGACCATTTCTGATGGAAGGGGCCTTTTGAATGCTTGTAGGGAGGGGCATCATCTCTCAAAACACGTGGCTGGTTGCCTTGTTTCTGCAGTTCCAATTGCTGTCACATCGCCAGCACACATGTTCAAGGCCAAGCGTTGTAAATTAACTTGACTCACCTTAAGTGCTGGTGTATTCAGACTGCTCAAACTGTTGTTCAGTAGTAATGTGACTGATAGCCAGGCACAGACCTCTGCCTGTCAAGGTGTGGGACCTTCCCTTTTCATGCTGTGACCAAATGATCACTTAAGAGAGGCCGGAAGAGGCTGACCTCAAAAATCGCTGGTCACCTAAACAAACACTTTGGTGAAGAATGGGTTGAACTTGGAATAAGAGCAGAACCTGGTTATTGGGGACCTGTCTCTCCTTCCTGTGTTCTGTGCCAAAATAGAACCAGGAATCAGCCCGTGCACATCACCAAAAGGCCTGGGGGTTCATTTCCCGTCTGCGTTGTGTTTCCCAAGAACCTGACATTAGGCCTCTCTCCACACACGAGCGATTCTGGTAGGAATTTGCTAATAAAAACTTGATCAAAGTGAGATGTTCAGAACCCAGGGATGTGATGACTTCCCATTGTGCTCATTTGCCTCTCGGCAGTGGTCTGTCTGCCTCACATACCTGCTGGAATAGCCAAGTGACCAGGTAGTGGGGCAGCAGAGCTTGCCCAAGTCAGCTCACAGTCAAGGTGAAGGGCATGCAGAATTTCACCTTGGTTTGTTTCTGTTGGTCCCTTACCTAGTTAGCGGCCTCATCTCAGTGGTGTTCTTGGAAGCGCGCCACGGCACCCATGCACCTGGCCTGACCGTTGTCTCTTTGTGTTTTGCGCAGTGCCTTCTCCCAGTGCCTTGCTAGTAGACAGCCCCACGCCTTTCGGAAATGCGAAGGAAGTGATTGCAATCAGGGACTACTGCCCGACCAACTTCACCACCCTCAAGTTCTCCAAGGGTGACCATCTCTACGTCCTGGATACCTCGGGCGGGGAGTGGTGGTACGCGCACAACACCACTGAAATGGGCTACATCCCCTCCTCCTACGTGCAGCCCTTAAACTACCGGAACTCCACACTGAGCGACAGTGGGATGATTGACAATCTTCCAGACAGCCCGGATGAAGTCGCCAAGGAACTAGATCTGCTTGGGGGGTGGACAGATGACCAGAAAGGATCCGGCAAAGCTTACAGTAATAACCCTTTCTGGAACGGAATCCAAACGAACCCATTCCTGAACGGGAATGTGCCACCCAGCTTGGATGAGCTGAATCCCAAAAGCACCGTGGACTTGTTGCTTTTCGATACCGGCACGTCCTCATTTACGGAATCCAGCTCAGCGACCACAAACAGCACCGGGAACATCTTTGACGAGCTCCCAGCCACAAATGGACTCCCCGTGGAGCAGCCGGTCAAGAGAGACAACCCGTTCTTCAGAAGCAAGCGTTCCTACAGCCTGTCCGAACTCTCCGTTCTGCAAGCCAAGTCGGACGCTCCCACGACCTCGGGCTTTTTCACGGGCCTGAAGTCACCTGCTCCCGAGCAATTTCAGAGCCGGGAGGATTTTCGAACTGCCTGGCTCAACCACCGGAAGCTGGCCCGGTCTTGCCACGACTTGGACCTGCTCGGCCAAAGCCCGGGCTGGGGTCAGACCCAAGCAGTGGAGACGAACATTGTGTGCAAGCTGGATAGTTCTGGGGGCGCCGTGCAGCTCCCCGACACCAACATCAGCATTCACGTGCCCGAGGGTCACGTTGCCCCTGGGGAGACACAGCAGATCTCCATGCGAGCCCTCCTTGATCCCCCGCTGGAACTCAATAGTGACAGGTCCAGCAGCATCAGCCCCGTGCTGGAGGTCAAGTTGAGTAACCTGGAGGTGAGCACCTTCGTCATCCTGGAGATGAAGGTCTCCGCCGAGGTGAAAAATGACATTTTCAGCAAGAGCACAGTGGGCCTCCAGTGCTTAAGGAGCGACCTGAAAGAGGGACCATACGCGCCCATCCCCCTGGCCTACAGCTATGGGGATACTGTCCAGGTGCAGCTAGATAACCTGGAGCCCTGCATGTACCTAGCTATTGTTGCCCACGGCCCAAACATCCTGTATCCTTCCACAGTGTGGGACTTCATCAATAAGAGGGTCACCGTGGGGCTGTATGGCCCCAAACATATTCACCCATCCTTCAAAACGGTGGTGACCATTTTTGGGCATGACTGTGCCCCCAAGACCCTTCTGGTCAGTGAGGTCACCCGGCAGGCCCCCAGTCCTGCCCCTGTGGCCCTGCAGCTATGGGGTAAGCACCAGTTTGTCTTGTCCAGGCCCCAGGACCTCAAAGTCTGCATGTTCTCCAACATGACCAACTTCGAGGTCAAGGCCAGCGAGCAGGCCAAAGTGGTGAGAGGCTTCCAGATGAAGCTGGGCAAAGTGAGCCGCCTCATCTTTCCCATTACCTCCCAGAACCCCAATGAGCTTTCTGACTTCACGCTGAGAGTGCAGGTGAAGGACGACCAGGAGGCCATCCTCACCCAGTTTTGCGTCCAGACGCCACAACCGCCTCCCAAAAGTGCCATCAAACCATCCGGGCAGAGGCGGTTTCTCAAGAAGAATGAGGTTGGGAAAATTATCCTGTCCCCCTTTGCCGCCACCACCAAGTATCCCACGTTTCAGGACCGCCCCGTGTCCAGCCTCAAGTTCGGCAAGCTTCTCAAGACGGTGGTGAGGCAGAACAAGAACCACTACCTGCTGGAGTACAAGAAGGGCGACGTGGTGGCCCTGCTCAGCGAGGAGCGCATCAGGCTGAAGGGGCAGCTGTGGACCAAGGAGTGGTACATAGGCTACTACCAGGGCAAGGTGGGCCTGGTGCACACCAAGAACGTGCTGGTGGTGGGCAAGGCCAGGCCCAGCCTGCTGTCGGGGCCCGAGCTGAGCACGTCGGTGCTGCTGGAGCAGATCCTCCGGCCATGCAAGTTCCTCACCTACATCTACGCCTCCGTGCGGACCTTGCTCATGGAGAACGTCAGCAGCTGGCGCGCCTTCGCCGACGCCCTGGGCTATGTCAACCTGCCGCTCACCTTCTTCTGCCGGGCAGAGCTGGACAGCGAGCCTGAGCGGGTGGCATCTGTCCTGGAAAAGCTGAAGGAGGACTGCAACAACCCTGAGAACAAAGACCGGAAGTCCTTCCAGAAGGAGCTCGTGATGGTGAGTGCTCACTCGGTGGGCATGTGCCCCCGAGGTTTGGTGTGTGCACTGGGGTGGGCTCCTCAAGGCTGCCTGCCCTGCGGGGACAGGGTTGGGTGTGCACTGGGGCGGGAGTCTGCATGTGATCCTTAGGGACCCTGGGGAGAGGGTCCCACTGCTCTCTTCCCACTATATCTGTGAGCTTCTCAGCCTCAGGTAGGACACAGCAGGACTGTTTGTCCACCTCTGTTTGGATCTGTTGGGCAGATCTGGGTTTCAAGTGGTGACTCAAGTGGAGAGAACCTCTGTCCCCAAAGCCAGGTCTTACTTTGATGTCAGTTTTCATGTTGTCTTTCCTGGGGCTTCAACACCTGTCTCTACTGTGGCTCACTTCTCCCTTCTTGGGGGTTGTTTGAGTTGGGGTGAGTGCAGACAGCCTCTGCTTGTCCAATATAGCTTGAGTCGAAGCTCTAGGAACTGAGCAGGAAGGGAGTGTCTCACTGCGGGACAGGCACTGGCCACCAGCCAAATAGGAACACTTCCTGAATCCCTCCTGAGCCATCCAGAGGCCTGGGTTTGTCCCAGACCTGCTTCCAAGGCAGCCCACCCCTAACTGCAGAGTTCTAGTAGTCACTCTGGTCTCCCTGGACGTCCCCAGGGCATTGTCCCTTGTTAGCCCCATCCTCCTGGTAGGGACCCTCTGGTTCCTGGGGAAGCCTCTGTGACATTGTCATGTCTCGCTTTCTGGTTCTCCTTGCTCACCTCCTGACTGGTGAGATGCGCTCCCAGTGGGAGCCTCCCCCTCCTCACCGTTTTATGTGGATGCATTTGGGAGGAGACTGGCCAGTGTGTCTGAGCTGATACAGGTGAGCAGCTGAGACCTGCACTCCACACACGCGCATCTCTGCTGCCCCTGCAAGCGGGCAGAAGGGCCGGCCGTTCACTGTGGTGCAGCCTATTTGCAACCTGGTAGGCAGCAGGATGTGAAAAATGACCCTTTGACAGTGACCCATGGTAATATAACTTGAAGACAGGGCAAACATACCTGAGATTACACAGGGGAGGGAGACACCAGAAGTGGCCGTTAAAAGGGCAGCCTTGGCAACCAGCTGGTCCCTGGGGGCCTTAGTGACAGCGGTTTCATTAGGGCAGAAGGGAGACTTCTGTGGGCATGCATGTGGGTCGCCCATGGGGTGACGGCAGTCCTTCATTCAAGCCATCACCACATGTGGTTCAGAGCCCCAGTAAAGCAAGTTCAGGTGATCCACTTTGTCTGGTCCCCATGGGTGGACAGAGCTCCACAGACAGGAGAGTGTCCCTAGGAGGACCTCAGGCCAGCATCTGCCATAGATTGTGAATTGGGCGTCTTCACCGAGAATAAGTAGAGCTGACTGTTCCCTGATGCAGCTGTAAGCCACTCACCTGAGCTGCGCAGAAGGGAGAGGGGGAAAATCCACAGCACCTCTCTCTGGTGAGTGGCCCTGACAGGGTGGCTTTTAGACTCCTCTCCTTCTGGTCGATTTTTAAGAATCAAACATGTCTTTGTCTAACTTGGTGACTTTACAGAGTAATTTTCAGTCTCCTTGGGCAAGTGTGTGCGCACAAGGGATGGGGTTCCTGTGCCCCTCTGGGCCCATTCACCCTCCTCCTCCTAGCAAAAAGAAGGAAATGAGGCTTGGCCTTTCCTGGAACTCGCCCCGGGGCAGGGTGAGTTTGTGGCAGGAAAGAGAGAGTGATTCTACAGAGTTCTTCCTCCTTGCCTCCCACCTCCGTCATCAGCCATCCTGTGAGCAGGTGAGCTTTAATGGCCGGTTGAACTTCCAGTAACCACGGCTGACTAACCCAGCAGTGAAACTCTCTTTTGTTTCCATGGATTTATAATCTCAGGACTGTCTGGCTTCCTGTAGCCTCAGTTTTACCCTGCCCCCACCCCAGTGTGGTCACAGCCAGACTGTCACCCTCACTTCCCATCTTTACGATGCTTCTGTGTCACTGTTAGAATCCCCTGCTCTGGACACGGTGTCTGAAGTGATCTAGGAAGGCAAAGGTTTGAGACAGTTACCGCACAGAGTGGGGAGGAAAAGTCACCAAGTGTTTGTTTGTCCAATGTCAGGGGTAAGTGCTGAGGCCACCTTACCCCTGCCTGTGGCCTTGTCTCTGTGTCCTGCACATGCCAGCCCTGGACCCCACAGGTGGTGTTCCTCTTGCTTGGAGCTTTTGGCATGGTGTCTCCTCAGGAGGTGCCAGCTGCAATCTCGCCTCTCAGGGAGGCCTTTCCTGCAGCCCTCAATGAAGCAAGCTGGTGCCTGGTAGCTCCCCACCTTGATCTCCCACGTGGTGCCCTCGTACGCTCACTGGAATTGGGGCTGCTTTTGCTTATTTACCTGTGTGTTTCTTTCTTGGTCTTGCTCTGATTGAGTATTTACTCCATAGAGATGGAAAACTGTAGGGAGTCAGTGACTGAATGAGGATGAATGAATGAGGGAGAGGGAGTGACGAGTGAATGATGGATCTGGCTAAGCCTTAGGCCATACATGCTCCCCTTACTCACACCACACTTGTGTGCCTGCTTCCATTCCCTCCCCTCATTCATAGTATCCAAAGAGGCAGACTGTGGTACCCTAAGGCCTCTTTTGTTGCACCTTTTGTGTAGTGCCCCAAAACGACTCCTGTCCTGTCCTGGCCAGCCCTGCTTCCCATCAGGGACTATGGCTGTCTGTGCTGGCAGAGGGTAGGGCCCAAACCTGAAGACAACTGTCGTAGGTGGGGTGGTGCCGGGCAGTGAGTGACTGGGTGTGCCTGGCACTGGTTCAGTGGATGTCCCCAGAGTATACAGAGCCCTGATCCCCCATCTTGAGAGGGCTGGGAGGCACTGCGGTTACCTGTGCTAAGATGGAACTTGCTCGTTGGAGAGTGGCGCCCCTGTTTGAAGAGAAGTCCAGTTCTGTTGGGGCGGGGTGGGGTAACAGGGAAGATCTCAGCCGCAGCTTTTAACACATGGCAGGGAAGAACAGCCATTGTGGGGTTGGGAGTGCATTCTGGGCTCAGTGCCCACCAAACGTGAGACTGCCTGCTGGGTACTGGGAAGTTAACCTGGTCCTGTGCCCTGAGAACAACCCGGTGGGAATAGCTGTGTGAGCAGGAGACAGGGTTTTTTTGTTTGTTTTGTTTTGCTTTTTCCCTTTGGTGGTACTGGGGTTTAACCTTAGGGCCACACTTCCAATCCATTTTGCTTTGGTGATTTTGAGAGCTTGTTTGGAGGGTCTAGCAGGGGAGCACAGCTACTCGTATACCCTTGACTGAAGAACGGTGCTCCTCTATCAGGGATGGTCGTCCTCTTTGACCCACCGCACAGCTTCGGGAGGGACACACATGGAGCGGTGAGGGAGGAAGGGGACACCTGCCTAGCCAGCCAGATCAGCCAAATCAACCCCGGTGATCAATGGGGTGACAGATGTCGCAGTCAGATCGCCCTCACATCGTGCTTTGGTGATTTTGGAGATGGGGTGTCATGAACTATTTTCCTGGGCTAGTCTTAAATCTCGATATTCCCTGTCTCAGCCTCCCAAGTAGCTAGGACTACAGGTGCGAGCCACCAGTGCCCGCCGAGGAATCAGACTCTTGAAGGGTCTCCTCGTGAGGACCAATGGGGCCAGTGGCGGAAGGACATGTGGGAGGCCGCCCATGGCAAAGGGAGGTCAGGTCTGTGATCAGGTCAGGTGAGAACTAGGCGTGGGAAGCATGTGGAATGGGGCTGAGGCCCAGTAGCTCACATGGTGGGAGGCCAGAAGAACCAGCTGCGTGGGGATTCAGGACCATACAATGAAGGGCATTGGAGTGGAAGCAACGGGTGGGTAGTGCCCACTCTGTACTGAGGGCCTGAAAAGAGGCGTGTGTTTAAGGGGGAGGGGATGGGGACCTGGTCAGCCCATCTTGTGAGTCCAGGTGTGTCCCTGCCGTGTGTCCCTACCCCTCAACACCCTGACAGGCTGCTCAGGGACTCCCAGGTTTGTTTATCCTCTACACCATTCCACACTGCTACGGCTTTCCTTCTCCTTGCCAGCCTCTTGATGGTCCAGGCCTGTTGTGCTCACACTGCGCACTTCACCCTAACCCTCCAAGCCCAGGGTCTCTGGGCTTGCACAGCTGCATCAGCTCATCCCTGGTTTTGTTTTCTCCAGAATGATTTTCTTCTGCAGGAAAGCAGCAGGCTTGTTTGTGTGTTGACATGTGACAACACTACACCCAGGAGCAGAGAGTAGGGTGTCCTCCTGACAGGGAGCCACCTCTGCCAACAGTTTGCAGTGGGCACACTGTGGTCGTCATTAAACCCAATTGGATTCTGTCCCCAGCTGTTCCCCAGGCTGCTTTCCCACCTACTCTGGAGGTGGAGCTGGGGAAGATCATGGCTCAAGGTCAGCCCAGGCAAGAAGTTAGTGAGAATCTCAACAAACAGGCCAAGTGTCATGGCTCACATCAGTAATCCCAGCTAGGCAGGAGGTGTAGGTATCAGGATCATGATCTGAGGCCAGCCCCAGGCAAAAAGTGCAGGACCCTACCCAGAAGATAACTAAAGCAAAAAAGGGCTGGGGGGTGGCTCAAGTAGTAAGCACTTGAGGCCCTGAGTTCAAACGTCAGTGCTGCCCCACCCCCACCCCCAGAAAAACAACTAGGAGTGTTTTCATTGAGCAATACACTGTTGATGCAAGAGAATTCCCAATTTTCGGGACACCATCTCGCATGGGACACATGGTATGTATTCTCATGATGGGAAGTCAGCTGGAGATGGAGCAAGGACAGTGAGAGACACAGCAGAAGCAGCCCAGGTTGTCCTCAACAGCCCAGGGAGGAATTTGAATTTGCTGAAGAGGCCTGGGGTGGCTGTCACAGCCTGACCTAGAGCTGCCACTGAGGATGAAGCCCTGGGGGGACTGTGGCCAGGGTGCATGGGGTCACATAGTGAGAGATAAGGACACAGGTTGTCTTGGGTCCTTTGGAAGTCTCTGTGGGAAAGAAGAGAGCCATTACTCTAGAGTGTATAACAAGGGAGGACGTTTATGTCCCAGGGTGGAGTGGGGCCGAGGCGACTGAAGGGGCCTGAGAGTTGATGGAAGCAGGGGAGCAGGAGAATTGGGGCACAGAGAGTGGTGTGGAGGGTTCTTGGGAAACTGGGGAAAACCCACCTTCCAAACAAGGCGGCAGTTACCTAGTGGCTGTGTCTTAGGTCCCTGAGCCCCTTCCAGGAGGCCCCAGGGCTGGCAACCCTACAAGGCTGTGAGGCAGCCAGGACCACCCATTGTAAATGACGTCTTTCTGTCCACCTATCATCTGTGGCTGCTTTTAGGCCATGTCTGCAGAATTGAGAGGTTGGGACACAGGACATGTCACCCACCAAAATTCAATCTGTGCCTTTAGAGATGAAGTTTGATCACTCTGACTTGAATTCTCATTCACTCAGATTAATTAAAATCCCGGCTGAAGTCAGCATTGTTCTTTATTTCTTTGGGTATTTTCTGGTACACTGGTGTGTACCTGAGTGTGTACAAAGATGAAAGAGGAAACTACGGGATTAGAGGGGAGAGTTCCCCAGGGCTGGAACCTTTTGCTGCGTTGTTTTCCATCACTAAGGTTTGGCATGTACCCAACATTCATCCTTCTAAAACCTGCATAACCCTTGTCAGTGGTGTGGGCAGCTTTGTAGCAAACTAAGCCAGCATTGGACTCAATAAAAGTTGTGTAAATGGAGCCAGCCAGAGTGAGTGAATGAAAGGCACCTTCATTCCTGGTGTCAGAAGCACCCCTTTATTTATCCAGGATCTGTGGAGGTAGAACCTCAGCTGCCCTAGGCAAGGCCTGGGTGCCCTCTTTTACAGCAATGACCAGTCAGGAGCCAAAGAATGGCCTTCATTTTCTAGGACCTTTGTATCCTGTGCCCAGAGCCTCTGGCAATTCAGATCGCTCCTTCCAGGAATGACTTGAATCACAGGCAGGTGACTTCAACGTGTTCTGTTACCCAGAAAACAAGGTATGCTGCCTAGAGCTAGGCAGCTGAGTACATGCACTAACATTTGTCTGGGAGTGACTTGGTTTAACCTGTGGCTATCCACATTCCTTTCCTGGACAGCAGACATGGCAGAGGAGACTCTTACTGACCCGGTGTGTCCCCAGCTCACACCATACCCCCCAAATTAAAACCTTGCATTATAGCAGTCTGTGCCAAGCTCATGGTGCATTTTTGTTCTGAAACACACTTCTAGTAAACACTTGATTTTCTTGACAATTTCTTTCAAATAGTCAAAATTTAAATTACAATCCATCATTTTCTGAGATGTGTAAATAGTGGAAACAAATCAGCATTTTGTTTGGTTCAGCTGCTGATGTCTGGTGGTGCCTCAGAACGGAAAAGCCAGTGGCCTGAGCACCAGAAAGGTTCCACCTCTGTCACCTTCAACTGAGGGACCCTGGACCAGCTACCCGACCTCTGCAGGGTTCGCGCTTTCTTGTGTGAAGCAGACACACTCGGCCCCACAGTCAGGACAGCCTGGGACTGGCTGCCCAGTGGCCAGTGTGGCTCTGACGCCCCCAGGCATGGGGGCCCCACTCACTTTGCCTCCAGCTGGTCTGTAAAATGGATGAATGCAGGACCTGCTTCGTAGGGTGGCTGTCTTCTTACAAGAACCTAGTCGTTGGTGAGCACCTAACCCACTATGATCTCACTTAGCATATTACATCTGTAAAGACCCTGTTCCAAATAAGGTCACATTTTGAGGTTCTGGAACATGAAGAGGGACAGTCCCCAAATCCACACACCCTGCAAACCCTCTCCTCTATCTTGTGAGCCCAGCAGTGCTGACAGAGGTCAGGGGACATTTCATAGGCCCTAGAACTCCAGGTTGGCATCCACTCGAAGCCAGAGCCTGGCCTCTGTCTTGCCTCACGCTGTGCCTTTTCCTCCCCAGGCCTTACTGAAAATGGACTGCCAAGGCCTGGTGGTCAGACTCCTCCAGGACTTCGTGCTCCTCACCACAGCTGTCGAGGTGGCCCAGCGCTGGAGGGAGCTGGCTGAAAAGCTGGCCAAGGTCTCCAAGCAACAGATGGACGCCTATGAGTCTCCCCATCGGGACCGGAATGGGGTGGTGGACAGTGAGGTGAGCAGGGAGTACAATAATAAAAGGTCTACTTCACATATTCTGGGAGGGTAAAATGAGAAGAAGGGCATGTGTGCCCAGCATTTGGGGGTGCTCTGGCTAGGAGGGAGCAGTTGAACTGTTCTTGGAGTCTTTTGTTGGGATTCCTGTCGTGGAAGATGGCAAGACCCCACCAATGTAAGCTGAGATGGTGGACTTGCCACCCCTCGCTCATTCTGCTCCTAAGTTGCCTTCAGAAAGACTGAGCCATCACAAACAGAGCCCTGGTGATTGCTGTGCACTGCATCTACCCAGCACTGTGTTGGATCAATACCTGGTGTGGTACCCAACACTGGCAAAGGCCGGTGTGATGGAGTCTTGCCCGGAGACTGTGTTCTGCTTATTTGTGGAGGTCACCATTACACACCACCTGGAAGACGGCTCAGGCTCACCAGACCCAAGGAGCAGGAAGTTCCTGGAATTAGGGTGTCCTTTATTCACACGATAAATTTCTAATAAATGACACAAATGAAAGCCATGAATTGTAAGGGAAGAGAAATCTGACCTGCTTATCCAGATAACATTTGCTACGTACCTGCTCTTGCCAGTGCCACCCTTCCTCTGTCATGGACTGAGCCAGCTTCTGCTGTGGACACCTAAAGAGCATCACAGTCAGTGACTGGGGAGCTCCCCAGGTAACCAGAGCAAATCTCTCCCTGTCCACTAACTTTTCTTCCCTCTCCCTCCCCCAGGCCATGTGGAAACCCGCATATGACTTCTTACTCACCTGGAGCCACCAGATCGGGGACAGCTACCGGGATGTCATCCAGGAGTTGCACATTGGCCTGGACAAGATGAAGAACCCCATTACCAAGCGCTGGAAACACCTCACCGGAACTCTGATCCTGGTGAACTCACTAGACATCCTGCGAGCAGCTGCTTTCAGCCCCATGGACCATGATGACTTTGTGATCTGAGCGGGGCCCCTGCCCGCCTGAACTCTGGAGCTTGAGCTGTCCATCCATCTGTCTGTCCTAGGTGCCCAGCCATCAGCAGCAGGAGCTCAGGCAGGGACGGATAGCCGCTCATACAGAGGTGTGGCCCCCAGGGGACCAAGGACAGGCGATGCTGCTTCCTTCTCCGCCATCCAGGGGCGGCCCTCAGGGGGGGTTTCCACTGCAGGTCATTGCCAATCAAATAGCTTTCTATCTGTTGAAGTGTAAATTTAAATTTAAAATCACATTTTTATAAAAGACTGGGGAGGGGACATGAGAAAGTTGGTATCTAATTTTTTAATGGATCATAAAGGTTTTAAAAAAAAAACTTAGTAGGAGCAGATGCTGTTGAGGTTTTTATGTTGTTTAAAGACCTTTTTAAATTATGTTACAGATGTATATAAGTATTTAAACCCCGTGGGCATTTCTGATTCCCAGCCATACTTTGCATTTCAACACTCAATACACAAAGGCGCTGTTCAGGTGTCGGGCTTTTCCCACTCCCCACTTTACCTGTAGGAAGGTAAAGCCAGCGGGCAGAGTGGATTTCAGTAGTGGGCACAGGTGAGCCCATCTTTCCTGAGAATGGCCTAGATCCCGCCCTCTCACTTTCCTTACCGTCCTCCCTTTGCTTCCGTGCTGTGGAAGTGACCATCACAAAATGCTTGAGTCTTTTGTGAACATTAGTGGGCAGTTATGCCCCACGGTAGCAGGTAGGTACCACTGAGCTGTGTTTGCCAATGGATTAGAGAGCAACTGGAGGTGACATTCCTTGTGGCCCCTGCCATGTGCAGTTACGTCATTCAGAAGAATGATGCAACCATGGTCGCTGCAGCTCTAGGCCATTGTATGGTGTTTCCCTAGGGGCAGGGGTGCGTCCTGCCAAGCCCGCCTCCCCCACAGGCAGGAAGAAAACCTGACTCTTCCCTGGCCACCGCTCACGCACTGCAGAGGGTCCCAGTAGCACTGTGCTGGCGTGCCGAGGTGTCAGCTTCTGCTTGCCAAACTCCATGTTGCATTTCATCTCAGATTTAACCCTCCTTCCTTTCTGCTGCGTGCCTCAGAAGTAAAAAAGTACAGGGAAACCAGTTTTTATACAACAGGAAGATCAACAGGTTAGCCATTTTCTGAAAATGAGAGTCTGTCCCACACAAAGGGTTGTGGTAATGACTGTGAGGGTTGTAGATGCCCTCAAACCTGCTGTGTTAACTTCCACAGCCTGGTAGCCATGGCATCTCAAAAGGGAGCAAGAGGCAGGACTGACACCTGGCAGATCAGCAGTGGGGTGACCCCAGTCATGGGCTATGTTTGTCTGAAGGGGTGCTGGGCCACTCAGGACTCCCAAGCCCCATGCTGTTAAGCTGCTTTCTTGACACATTAGTTCCTTAGTTTCATCGATGTGTAATCTCTTACTGTGCTGTAATGTTACATTGCTGTTGATTCAGACACCGAAGGCTAACAGACTAAAAAACAAACACTAGGTATTTTATGCTGCAAGAATCAAATCACACAATTCGCAGTCATCACACGTAATCACCTTAAATTCTGCTTCTTCACTCCTCACCTTCATTTTGCCCAGAGAACATCTCTCACCTTTTCCCCAAAGAAGAAACGAAACCAGTTGCACCTTAAACCATGAATATTTTTCCTCAGGGGCTTTTACATAGTTTCCTATGCAACATTTCTTGTAGCACAAATTAAATTCTACAAAAGTTGCAGTAAACTTTATTTGGATATTTTAAGCTGTTCAGTGTGTGTGTGTATGTGTGTGTTTTCTGTGCCTAACCAGACTTTAAATAAAACCTGGTAGAAGGACTTATACACAGACCAATGGCTCCCTGACGATTGGTGTGCTAAGCCAATTCCTTGCTCTTAATTTAAAATTTAACTGCTCTTGAAACGTGGGTAACTCAGCCATCGCTAACAGAAAGGGTGTATTGTACAGAGCACCTAGAGGAAACAGGTTGGTATCTTCTTTTGTTCTTAGCCTCTCGCAACTGGAACTGCCAACACCAGCCGCTGACACGGAGTTCATGACTGAGCCATTCCTGTGTGTGCTGCCACCATCCCTGAGCTGCCCTGAGATTACTGTGTTGGGGAGAAGAACCGGGTGGGGCTGCTCCTCCTGGAGTCCAAGCCCAGCTGGAGGTGGTGGTGAGGAACCAGACTCCTCCAAACCTGGTTGAGAAAGTATTCTTAATCCAAGTCCAAAGGCTGAGTGGGAATCAGCTAGACCAAAGATAAGTTAGACCTGGGAACCTCAAGTCTGCTGTGTTCACATGGGCACATGGAGGAAAAGTGGGACAGTGGGAGGCTGAAGCCTTCCACATGGCTGGGCTTGTAGGAAGCCCTTGTGAGCTCCTCTCTGCCCTCTGCTTGTGTTAATTCCAGCTGTTGTAGTTTAGATCTAAGTACCCCCAAAGACCCAACTGTTAAGGCTTGGTCCCCACATGGCACTATTGGAGGTGGTGGAACCTTTAATGACCAGGTGGTGGCCTGGGTCATTGTGGATGCTCCCTCAAAAAGGATGTGGAACACCAGTCTTCCTCTTCTGGTCACCATGATGTGACCAGGCCTCCTTTGCCATGCATTCCCACCACCATGCTGTACAGTGCTTAAAAGCAGCAGGCCCAATCAATCATGGACGGGAAGCTCCCAAACTGTGAGCCAAAATAAATCTTTTTTTTCCTTGCAAATTGATGAGCTCAGGAATCTGTTACAGTAACAGAAAATTGGCCAGAGCAGGAGCCCAGGCACCACCTACCTGCTAAGTCCTCACCCATTTTGCAGTTGAGGACACTCAACTATTACATGTGGGTAATAGGAAAGGCAAGAATGATGGGAAAGGAAGCAGAGAAGCAAGCCCAGGGCACACTAGGCAAGCACTCCACCCCTGAGCCACACCTCAGCCCAAAGGCAGGGATGGTAACCCAGGGCCACCGTAACTGGGTGGCTTGGACTTCAGAAATGCATTCTCACAGAAGTTCAAATTTAAGGCATTGCGTGACCTGTCTGTATATGGATCTCTCTTTGTAAGGACACCAGTTATTGGATTTAGGACCTACCATAATCTAGTATGGCATCATCTGGATTACATCTAGATAGCCCTGTTCCAAAAAGGTCACCTTCACAGGTAGTGGGAATTAGGACTTCAATGTCTATTGGACAGAATTCAGCCACCACACCACCTCCCTCATGCCAGGAGTAAAGCTCGCAGCCCTACATTGATAAGATTTTGACATTTGTGTTATTGATAAGGTAACTGACATATAGGGTTAATGGAACTTGTAGGCATCTTTCAGTGCCAAATATTCAGCAGAAAAGATTGAGTTGAAAAAGTGATGCTCTGATTTCCAAGAAAAAGTCAGTTTTGTCCGTGATAAATTCACCTATCATTCTGTCAAATCCAGCGTGTTGGGGGGGGGCATTTGCCAAGTTATTTATTTTGCTAATTCTCCATTTTTCACCCATACTGAGTGTTCTGTCACCTGGCTACAGCATCCACGCTCAGGCTTCATTCTAGGATCCCTACCCCAAGTGTTCTCCAGATCCCAGGAACTTGTGGGGCTCCCAGAGCCATTCCTAGCACTGAGACCAGATGTAAGAACCTTTCTCCCTTCACCTTTTTGGTCAAATGCACCAGCCCCCCTTTTCTGTCCACTTTTGCCATCTTCATCCTCTCCACCCCTGGGCTAAGGAGTCCTTCTTGTCCCCAGTCTGTGACCCCTCTCCTTCACCTGGCAGGATCACCCACCGAGCTCTTGGGTGACAGTAACCTTGTCTTAGCTATCCCCAGAGGCTGCCGCCATGTTTGTTGCATGAGGAAGCTGCTCCTTTCTGCGATAGAAACACATTTCAAAATGTAATGGCCTTGGCTACTGGCGTGGATAATCTGGGCTTCACGCTGTGCTCACCACCAATGTGAAAAACAAGGGCAAACTCGTCCACCAATGAACGCATCAAAACCAGCACAGACCAAAGAGGTCAGAGAAGAGCACGGCAGGGAAGGCACTCGTCAGGAGCACCAAAAACAACTGTGTGTGCTGATGACTCTTGCTCTGGCTTGAGGGAAATGGTTCGGTTTAGTCCATGGTTTCTGTTGTGATGAAATTTGGTTTTATGTAAAATAGGTATGAACCTACTTAACTTTTTTGCCAGAACCCCTTTGGTAATTTGATGAAGACTGTAGAGTCCACAGAATTAGGTAAATACATAAGATAAAACCTGGGAGAACAAAGGGAAATAGCCCTACTTACATACAGACACCCAAGAGATTTAATATGTGTGCTTCTTTATGTCTATATGTTATGTGCTTCTTTATGTTAATATGTCTAGCGTAGGTCTCATCACCAGAAACCCAGTATGGAGGTGATCTTTAGATCTTTACTCCAGTAGGGCACAGTGGCTACGCCTGTAAGCCAGCCTAGGGAAATTGTTCAAGAGGCCCTATCTCAAAAATACCTAACACACACAAAAAAGGGGCTGGCAGAGTGGCTGAAGTAGTAGAGCACCTGCCTAGCTAAGTGTGAGGCCCTGAGTTCAAACCCCAGTACTGCCACACACAAAAAAGCATTCATGGATATAAAAATACCTGAGTGAGAACTCACTGGAATGTTTATACGTTTCTTTGCCTACGTGCTAGGAAATGCTGATGTTCATTTGGAGATTAATGAAAATAAAGGTATGTTTTTCCCTTACTTATATGTATTTAAAGTGTTCATTCAAAGGAAGCAGATCACCCGGACTTGCTATCCACATTGTTTGAAAATTGCTTTTATTAGTATTTTTTTGCCCCAGACTGTGGTTGTTTGTCTAATTTAATATTGAAGAAAACCTGTAGAAATTACTTCGCTGTGTGAGTGACCTTTTAAGTATCTCAAGTCATCCTTCTTAATTTTCCATCTCAGTTGGTTTATCTTCTTTTCAAAAAAAAGATTCTGTACACTCATGTCATATATATTGCAGTTTTCATTGTATTTTTCATTGGGAGGTGGCAGCAAAAAAGCTGCGCAAACTGAGGGTTCAGTGAGCTGCGGACAGAGGAGCCCATCATGGGTGCTCATTGACCCACGTGCATCATGGGCACAGGGTGTTCCAAGGGCATCCAGGAATGGAAGAGCTCGTTCCTGGGCCTCCTGGAGCTTATCCAATTGGGAAGGTCCAGGCACAGGAGCAA